CCCTCTCACCACGTCTCCCTCTCCCCACGTCTCCCTCTCCCCACGTCTCCCTCTCCCCAACTGTAATGGACATGTTGACCGGCGGAAACAAACCTAACTGAAACTCTGCCTCACGGTCCCTCGTCTCTTGGAAGAGGCGGAGAGGTGGGTGTTTTTCATCTGCTGGTGGACTACCGGAGAGATCTACAGATGGAGCACACGCCGTCCACCGCGGAGAATAAACAGAAGAGCAACCATGGCAACCATGCTCCGGGGTCTTCTTCGCTGCTTTTGGTGTATTTTGTGGCGGCAGCAGCGCCACGTACAGGCCTGGCATATGTACTCCAGCGTTTCCAGCGGAAAACTTTTTTGAAAACGCATACGGTGCGTAAACGCAAACGTTCCCGTGTAAATCTCCTCTCTCTTTGATGTTCAGGCGAAGTCGTTGGAGGAGAAGAAGCTTTGGGCTCAGAACATCAAACGCATCATCCTGGAGAACCATCAGGCCATCATCCCTCAGAAGGTCTCACACACACACACACACACACACACACACACACACACACACACACACACACACACACACACACACCACCCCCCCCTAGTCTGATGTGTGTGTGTGTGTGTGTGTGTGTGTGTGTGTGTGTGTGTGTGTGTGTGTGTGTGTGTGTGTGTGTGTGTGTGTGTGTGTGTGTGTGTGTGTGTGTGTGTGTGATGTGTGTGTGTGTGTGTGTGTGTGTGTGTGTGTGTGTGTGTGTGTGTGTGTGTGTGTGTGTGTGTGTGTGTGTGTGTGTGTGTGTGTGTGTGTGTGTGTGTGTGTGTGTGTGTGTTGCAGGCCAAAGAGGCGATCCTGGAGATGGACTCTATCTGTGAGTGAACTGTAGTCTAAAGACACGTTAGACAGCCGGTAAACACACACTGACTGGAAGAGCTGGTTCTCTGTTCTCTGTTCTCTGTTCTCTCTGTAGATCCTCGGCGGTTCCGTTACAGTCCAGACCGGCCCAAGAATGTTCTGTCAGGTAAACAAACTCCAGATTCTTCTCCCATTGTCTTGTTTGATTGTTTTGTTTGTAGCCTTTATTTAACCAGGTGAATCTCATTGAGATCAACCATCTCTTTTTCAAGGGAGACCTGCGGTACATTAGTTACACATAACAACAGAAAACAAAAAGGACATCACAACATAATCACAGGGGTATACATTAGCATCTATTCACAGTGACAGGTATCCAATAACATTTCATCCAGCCGTGCTTTAAAATGATGCAAGGGAATCAAAATGCTCAGTTTGTGTTGCATGGTGTTCCAAGCTAGAGGAGCAGCGCACAGAAAAGCTTTAGCACCTAGAACAGTCCTAGCACTTGGCACATGTAATAAGAACACATCCTGGGATCTCAGGCAATAGCTACTTGCCACTCTCTGTGAGATCAGAGAGCAGATATAAGAAGGTAGTTTACCCAGCATGGCTTTGTAGATGAACATGTACCAATGACTGAGCCTCCGTACAGGAAGTGAAGGCAGACCTGCCTTGGCATACAGGGTACAGTGATGAGTAAGTGCTTTACAGTTAGTAACACATCTCAGAGCACTGTGATAGGCGGCATCTAACCTTTCCAGGCAATGGGCAGGTGCATTCATATAGACCAGATCACCATAGTCCAGCACAGGTCAAAGGTCACAGAGCCTTTTCCTGGCCTCAAGTGAGAAACAGAACTTGTTCCTGAAAAAGAAACCTAGTCTAACCCTCAGCTTTTTTTTCTTTCTTACAGTCCACTTCCTGTTTATAGATGTTTACCTGCTTGCTCTTCCTCTTGGTTTGATCTGTGTCTCTTCGTCCTCAGAGTCGACCCCTCAGGGTCTGGTCTCTTCGTCCTCAGAGTCGACCCCTCAGGGTCTGGTCTCTTCGTCCTCAGAGTCGACCCCTCAGGGTCTGGTCTCTTCGTCCTCAGAGTCGACCCCTCAGGGTCTGGTCTCTTCGTCCTCAGAGTCGACCCCTCAGGGTCTGGTCTCTTCGTCCTCAGAGTCGACCCCTCAGGGTCTGCAGAGCCACGGTGAGAGAACCTCTTCATCCTGTATGGAGGGTCTGACATTAGAACTCATGATGATCACTTCCTGTTTGTGTTTAACATCTGCTCTTCTTCTTCTGCTGATCACGCAGCCGCCTCAAAGGTAAGACTCCTTATCTCCTCCTCTCCTACTTCCTCCTCTCCTACTTCCTCCTCTCCTACTGAGCTCTGATTGGTTGCAGGATGCTGACGGAGGAAACAGAGAGGATGACCGACTTCATGAAGAGACGTGTGAGCAGGTACTGATGACATCACTTCCTGTTCCTCTCCAGACCCCCACAGAGGAAAACCCTGACCCAGAACCCCCCTCTGGTCCGGACACGTCGTGCAGAACCTCAGAAGATCTGAACCCGGAGAGACCGGATACTCCGTCCTCGGCTCCTGATCCGAGCAGCGGGGAGTCCTCGGAGGATGAGGAGGAAGTGAAGGGGGGTCCTGAGGAAGGAAAGACCAGCATCCTGCCCTCCTCGGTCCTGGACAGAGCCAGCGCCATCGCTCAGCACTTCAGCATTAGGCGAGGCAGCCTGGCCCGGGGCCAGGACCAGGACCAGGGCCAGGTTCGAACCCTGCGGCTCCACAGCAGCTGCTCCGGTCCCTCAGAGACCTTCAGCCCTGTAGACCTGAACCCAGCGTCTCCTCGGGGAAACAGGCGGGACTCGACCCTGTCCCAGCAGGACCAGATGCTCATCGGCAAGATCAGGAACTACTATGAGAACCAGGACTTGAGCTTCAAACTGCAGCGCAGAGAGAGTCTGAACTACATCCCTGCAGGGCTGGTCCGGACCTCCGTCAGCCGGCTGAACAGCACCACAGACCAGCAGCCCAACACTGAGTCCGGCCCCCTCACAGACCAGCAGACTAGCATTGAGTCCGCCCCCCCTTATGACACTCTCAGGGTCTCTAGTGACTCTCTGGGCTCGATCAGGTCCGATCAGAGGAGCACAGATCCAGGTCCAGAGGAAAGATCCTGGTCCAGATCTCAGAGCCTACAGGATGAAGTCTTCAGACCTTCATCTGAGATGATCCAGGTCTGGCAGGCGATGGAGGAAGAGATCAACAGATCTACCGCCAAGGACCTGAGCCCTGAGGAATCCACGAGACCTGGACCCTGCCAGACCTCCGCTGGGACCCAGACAGGAGGTGGGGCAAAGCTGCAGGACCAGACCAAGACCCAGCTGCAGGACCAGACCAAGAACCAGCTGCAGGACCAGACCAAGAACCCATTACAGGGTCAGACCAAGAACCAGACCAAGGACCAGACCAAGAACCAGCTGCACGACCAGACCAAGACCCAGTTACAGGACCAGACCAAGACCCAGTTACAGGACCAGACCAGGGCCCAGCTGCAGGACCAGACCAGGGCCCAGCTGCAGGACCAGACCAAGAACCAGCTGCAGGACCAGACCAAGAACCAGTTACAGGGCCAGACCAAGGACCAGACCAAGACCCAGCTGCAGGACCAGACCAAGAACCAGCTGCAGGACCAGACCAAGAACCCATTACAGGGTCAGACCAAGAACCAGACCAAGGACCAGACCAAGAACCAGCTGCACGACCAGACCAAGACCCAGTTACAGGACCAGACCAAGACCCAGTTACAGGACCAGACCAGGGCCCAGCTGCAGGACCAGACCAGGGCCCAGCTGCAGGACCAGACCAAGAACCAGCTGCAGGACCAGACCAAGAACCAGTTACAGGGCCAGACCAAGGACCAGACCAAGAACCAGCTGCAGGACCAGACCAAGAACCAGCTGCAAGACCAGACCAAGAACCAGTTACAGGGCCAGACCAAGGACCAGACCAAGAACCAGCTGCAGGACCAGACCAAGAGCAAAGTCATGCACCTGGCCCGTCAGTACAGCCAGCGAATCAGAACCACCAAACCTGAGGTCTGGCGGCTAGAACTCGAGAGCCGGATCTGCGAGGACCAGGAGATGCCCAATGCAGGTAACACACACACACACACACACACACACACACACACACACACACACACACACACACACACACACACACACACACACACACACACACACACACACACACACACACACACACACACACACGTTGCTCTGTTGGTGATGAAGCCTTTGATCTTTGAACAGGTGTTGTCAGGACTCGGTCTTCATCTGTTTTCTGTTCCACAGGTGAACCCCTGCTGGGGGGTCCTCAGGTAGACCGGACCCGCCCTGTGACCCCCAGCTCGATGGTCCTCAGTCCTGCCCCCCCCACCGAGATCTTCCCCTGGCCCGACGTCCGACAGCTGCGATCCAAATACTGCGACCAGGTCCGGCCCCCCCCCAGAGGATCAGAGGCCTGAGGCGGGTCTGAGGAGGCCCCCCCCAGAGGATCAGAGGCCTGAGGCGGGTCTGAGGAGGCCCCCCCCAGAGGATCAGAGGCCTGAGGCGGGTCTGAGGAGGCGCTCCAGTCTGGCTGAAGAAACCACATCCAGCAGGAAACCTCTCCAGAGAGCCCGGTCTCTGGACCCCCGGTCTCTGAACACCCGATCCCTGGACCCCCAGTCCCTGGACCCCCCTCTGAGCGTGGAGCCGCAGACGGACCGCGGTTCTAACGGGGGGTTCTTCGTGGCAGCCGAGGCTCCGCTGCCCCACGACCCCGAGCACAGGATCCTGGTCTTGGAGAAGGGGGGGGGCGACAGCTTGGTTCAGAGCAGATCCCCCACCAGCAGGGAGAAGATCTCCATCATGGCCGTCATTGATCGTTGCCGCGTCTACCAGGAGTCCCAGGAGGGGAAGGACAGAGCGAACCAGAACCAGAACCCTGGCTCAGACCTGGTGAGGAACCTGAGGGCCCGGTTCCAGAGCCTGAGCGAGGGAACCTGAGCTCCTCCCCTCCTGTGATATTAAAGGATTGTAATTATTAACGTATATATTTGTTATTTAAAGCAAAACTTTATATAAAACCAACACGATGTCTTCCTCCGGCCCGTTCTGGTCTCTGGTCCACAGAGACCTGGGTCACATGTTACTGACTCCTCCACTAGCACACACCTGCTGTCCTGGCGCTCCCATTGGTCCGTCTCAGACTGACCCGGCTCACCAGCGCTCCCATTGGTCCGTCTCAGACTGACCTGGCTCACCAGTGCTCCCATTGGTCCAGGATATAACCAATATAAATATATGATGTAATGTTTGTCTTCATTATATGTTGTTCTATTTATAAACCCTATAATAAAGTGCACTCTCCAAATCCTTCCATATACTTTGTCTTTGGGATTATAACAACAACAACAACAACAACAGTATATTAATATTAATCACAATAAAAATTATACTTATAATAATAGTTTTTAAAGGGGACCTATTAATTAAAGGGCCCATGTCATGGCCATTTCCACTGATCATAATTACATTGTTGAGGTATACTAAAATAGATTTATACTGTGCAATTTTCCAAACTCAAACTCACATTGGTTTCGCATACAGCATCTCAGTCAAGTATGTGTATTCAGCAGTATTCACTCTCTCCACTAAACGACTCGTTGGAGCTCTTGCCCCCCCCCCTCCCTGTGAGCCTAGTGTGCTCCGATTGGTCAGCTCGGCCACTCTGTTCTGATTAGTCAACCACCAGAGAGGCTCCGCCCATGTCTAACAGTGCTTTTTTCGGCTCGCTCTCGGAACATCAGTCTTATAATGGCGTCGGTACAGCCGTATATTTTATACGCTAACTAACCGAACTGTACCTACAACTGTTGTTATAGAAGAGTGTGACGGCCCCAGGGCCTTTGTCTTACGATGGGGTGGAGCTGAAGAGGCTAATCAGCGCGATCACGGACACCTGGCCGGAGCCGAGGTGCTAGCCAGCTGCCCGGAGTCACACGGCGGCCCCTCTCTCTCTCCAAAGCGGCTGCAGAAGGACGAACTCGGCGATCCTCTCCCCTCGACCACCTATCTCTGCATTTACCACAATAAATGTGCCGTGGTTTTGTAAACTCGTGTATGTCTCCTTGTCTTTCCGTTGTGGCCTACGAGCCGGTCATAACAAAGAGTAAGTTATTTTTACCTGTAATAAACTACTACTGTTTGATGAGAAATCAAATCATGGTTTGCTATATATGAATGATATGTTATAGGAGCAAATAATTCAGGGAAGAAAGGATAGGCCTACTAAGTATTTCCATTAAACTTTATTTTTAGAAATGTACAAAATGAACATAAATATACACAGTGGCGGCTGGTGGAAAATATTTTAGGTGGGGCTGTGGAAATGGTGATCAAACAATACTAGGGGGCATTTATTTGAGAAAATACACCCTAAATTATGACTTCTGGTGATGTTAGAGGGGGGGGGGGGGGGAGGACAATTTGAGGCTTAAAAATATGAGAAGACTGATCAATACCTCCATAACTTCAGTGTGGTTAGCTATGAATCTTCCAAAACTTCCAAACACCTTGTCCTGGACATAGTTTCTACAGCATAAACTGTGCTAACAAGCTGAGATTCCACAGATTCTAGAAATATAAGTATCATCACTGAACGATCAGAACTCGCGACAGGGGAAGCAAATACAGACATCACACGACGTAGCTTTAGGTAGCAAAACACGGAGATATGCTCACCTTTTGCAGAATAACAATTCTGATCAAAAACGAGAAAAACGCAGCTGAAGGTTAATCCATAGGTTAATCCAATGTGTCTGTCACTTTGAAAAAATGATTGATGATCCATAATTCAATTTTTATGTCAAAAACTGAGTTTTCATTAGCTGCTAATGGTAGCTTCCAGAGTGTATGACAGCTTCCTGTTTTGTCTCCTTGGATACGAGTCCAAGCAACTCACAGACTGCACCGGGCGCTCACGTAGGAGCCCTGTGACCATCAGATTTGACGACGCTGATTGGCTGAAATTATGTTTCGGCGGCATAGTTTAAAGATAGCAACAGTTGGCTTCTGCTGCACTTGCTGCCCTCTCGTCTGGGCGCTGTGCATAGCGCCCAGACGAGAGGGAGTAATGAGGGCAAGGCCAGGCAGGAAACATGTGACTTATCAGTAACTTTAGACATCGTAACACAATTTTAAACGAGATTTTATTGTAGATTATACATTTTACTGATACCAATTATATAATATTTACCTTGTTTATTAAAAATAAAAATAAAAATAAAAATAAAAAATATATTTTTTAAATATATATTTTTTTATTTTTTTTATTTTTAATGTGGGAAGAGGGGGGGCGGCGCCCATAGCGCCCCTATGGGCCGGCCGCCACTGCCAACGAGGCGTTTTGGGGAGGTATTTTCTGTGTTAGAGTTTTACTCTCTACAGGGTGTACTTTGAGGGTTTTGACTCTGCACACCGTTTACATGCATACAAACCTTCATAACACACAAGGGGACGGGTAAGAACCGGAACAGCATGACATGGGAGCTTTAAGATCCACTTCTTCACGTCTCTTCAACATGTGTCCCCTCTGTGGAAAGAGACCCCTCTCTTCACACAGATGGGACACATGTCTCTTCTACTTCAACATGTGTCCCCTCTGTGGAAAGAGACCCCTCTCTTTTGGTCCTGAACCATTTACATAAAAACCTGTCTGAAAATAAACATCAGGTTTAAAACTAAAAGAGCTTTACAAAAAACCCAATGAAAGATGTTTGGAGTTTTATTTGAGTTATTAACCTGTTAAACCCCACGGACACGGACTTCTCTTGTCAAAGAGAAGCTGATCAGTTTCTGCCGGAGAGAGGGGAGTTTGTCCCAAAGCTTGCTGCTGTATTTACTACCTCCATCTGACAGGAGGAGCCTCGTTGAGCTGCGAGTGGGTAGGGTGTGGTTTGGAATTGGACCTTACTGTGTTCATTAGGACCTTCTGATCAGATCGGTCACTCAGCGCTGCTGTCCCGAGGCTTTTATTTTGAAAGTGTGGCGGTGCCACGGTGCGTGATGACGCAGGGCAGCTGGTGCGTGATGACGCAAGGCAGCTGGAGCGTCAGGAGGAGACAGAGATGCCAGAACAGCATCAGCAGCATCCGCGACCGTGATCCCATCCTCCCGGTCCGTCCCAGTCCGTCCCGCCTCTGCAGGCCCGGCCGCCGCGCAGGCTCTGCAGCCCGGCCTCCATCCGCCAGAGGTGCGGCGTCCTCCGGAGGTAAGAGATGCGGGGGCGGGGGGGGCTGTCCGTTATCCGTCTGAGGAGAGGAGGCCTGCGGTGTGTGTGTGTGTGTGTGTGTGTGTGTGTGGTGTGTGTGTGTGTGTGTGTGTGTGTGTGTGTGTGTGTGTGTGTGTGTGTGTGTGTGTGTGTGTGTGTGTGTGTGTGTGTGTGTGTGTGTGTGTGTGTGTGTGTGTGTGTGTGTGTGTGTGTGTGCGTGTGCGTGTGTGTGTGTTATCCCGGGTGTGGCTCGGTTCAGGTGGAATAGTGATGCTTCCTGTCAGGTCACGTGATGTGAAGAATATCCACCTGCATCAGCATGTGTGTGTGTGTGTGTGTGTGTATTATAAACTGTGTGTGCATCATCTTCAGAGTGAAGACTTCATTATACCATATATATTATATATATAATTATATATATAATTATATATATAATTATATATATATATATATTATATATATAATATGCAGAAAGAGCATGAGCAGCAAGGCAGTGCAATGTAGCAGCAACGACATATAAAGTGCAGGAGCAGATGAAAGTGCAGCTAGCGGTGATTACACGTCTGTTTGTTTCTCATCCATTCTTTGAGTTGACCTTTAAAACTATTGAGAGTGAAACAATCCCGTATCTCAGTTGGGAGGCAGTCAGCATGTCGTTGTGTCCCTGAGACACTTCACCCCAAAGTGCTCCTGTGGGGATTGTCCTCAGTATTGAGTATGGAAGTCTCTTTGGATAAAAGCGTCTAACATGTGATGTGTCTGAGGATGCTAAGATGAGAGAGAAGAGCCCCGTCCTTCAGAAACAGAGCGGAGGGAGAGTGTGAACACGCAAAGCAGTGGACACTGAAACATGCACATACATTGGATAAATAACATAGGCGTTTAGTTAATTTAAAGTGGACCTATCATGCTATATTATAATAATATAGTGTAGGACCATACCTATAAGGCATATTTATACTTTTTATTTTTCAAAATACCAAACAGATCATGCATTTTAGCCATGCCTCATTTCGCTCAATTTGACAATTTCTAGCTCTGTTTTAGCAAGGGCTGATTCAGTGAGAACAGCACCACCTACAGGCCTGGCATATGTACTACAGCGTCTCCAGAGCTTTTGAACGGCAATGGCCGTGGCTGTCTCCTCCTGATTGGTGGAGTTGGCCCAATAGCCGTAGCGCCACCGTCCTGACGTCAGGACAGTGTTCAAATCTGGATCAGTTTTTATCAGATCCGTTGCAGCCCCTTTTTTAGAGATTTGGGTATGGAGGAAAATAGAGAGGGTTGTGTTTTCTGACACTTGGTGAGTTCCCTGGAACACCGGGGACACATATTCATGTAGAAAAGACGTACACAAGTGCATTTTGCATGATAGGTCCCCTTTAAGAAAAGAGCTCATGGTCAATGTGAAAAGTGACCGTAGATAGATTACTTCAGTTGCTATATATATATATATATATATATTTTTTTTTTAATAAAAAAAGAAAAAAAGAAAAGAAAAAAAAGAACACCTTGAATTTCAGGCTGGGCCCCGCCAAGACAATGGTAGGGGAAACACTGGATGGGCCTTTTTGAGTCTTCAGTTAATAATGTCAGTAGTTGAACAGCAACAGGGTGCGAGGGAGAAGCAGCACAGATTCACAGGTTAATACAATTAAAGATCAAATCAAAGATATAAATAAAAATGATGAAAAACGATGAAATAAGAAATGAATTCAAATGAGCATATATACATATTGGGTCAATGTTGTGTGTCTCACTCCTCTCACCCACTGGCCTCCATTTCCCAGGATGCTCTGGGGTTTCCCAGCAGGCCTGTGAAGATGAGTGTGACTTCCTGGTTCCTGGTGAGCAGCTCTGGGACTCGGCACCGCCTCCCCAAGGAGATGATCTTTGTGGGGAGGGAGGACTGCGAGCTGATGCTGCAGGTAACCTTCACCTGGAGATCCGTACCATAGTGACGTCATCCTGCCGTACGACAGTGATGTCATCATCCTGCCGTACGACAGTGATGTCATCATCCTGCCGTACGATAGTGACGTCATCATCCTACGACAGTGATGTCATCATCCTGCCGTACGACAGTGACGTCATCCTGTCGTACGACAGTGATGTCATCATCCTGCCGTACGACAGTGATGTCATCATCCTGCCGTACGATAGTGACGTCATCCTGCCGTACGACAGTGATGTCATCATCCTGCCGTACGATAGTGACGTCATCCTGCCGTACGACAGTGATGTCATCATCCTGCCGTACGATAGTGACGTCATCCTGCCGTACGACAGTGATGTCATCATCCTGCCGTACGATAGTGACGTCATCATCCTACGACAGTGATGTCATCATCCTGCCGTACGACAGTGACGTCATCATCCTGTCGTACGATAGTGACGTCATCATCCTACGACAGTGATGTCATCATCCTGTCGTACGATAGTGACGTCATCATCCTACGATAGTGACGTCATCATCCTGCCGTACGATAGTGACGTCATCATCCTGCCGTACGATAATGACGTCATCATCCTGCCGTACGATAATGACGTCATCATCCTGTCGTACGATAGTGACGTCATCATCCTACGACAGTGATGTCATCATCCTGTCGTACGATAGTGACGTCATCATCCTACGATAGTGACGTCATCATCCTGCCGTACGATAGTGACGTCATCATCCTACGATAGTGACGTCATCATCCTGCCGTACGATAGTGACGTCATCATCCTGCCGTACGATAATGACGTCATCATCCTGCCGTACGATAGTGACGTCATCATCCTACGATAGTGACGTCATCATCCTGCCGTACGATAGTGACGTCATCATCCTGCCGTACGATAATGACGTCATCATCCTGCCGTACGATAGTGACGTCATCATGTCGTACGATAGTGACGTCATCATGTTGTACGACAGTGACGTCATCCTGCCGTACGATAATGACGTCATCATCCTGCCGTACGATAGTGACGTCATCCTGCCGTACGATAGTTACGTCATCCTGCCGTACGATAGTGATGTCATCATTCTGTCGTACGATAGTGACGTCATCATCCTGCCGTACGATAATGACGTCATCCTGCCGTACGATAGTGACGTCATCCTGCCGTACGATAGTGATGTCATCATTCTGTCGTACGATAGTGACGTCATCATCCTGCCGTACGATAATGATGTCATCATCCACTGACGGTGGTCTCTTTGTCTCTCAGTCCCGCAGCGTGGACAAACAACACGCCGTCATCAACTACAACCCGGCCACGGACGAGCACCTGGTGAAGGACCTGGGCAGTCTGAACGGGGTGAGACAACCCCCCCACACTGTGACATCACATGTGTTAACCAATCAGCAACATGAAAGAGAAGATGGGGGTCAGAGGTCACAGTGTGGTCCTAAACAACACATTATATAGTCATCATTTTAATTCAGTCTCTGATTCAGGAACACTAGGATGTCTGCCCTGTTATCAATGAGTAAAGAAGGTGTTTGATTTTCTGACTGTAGCTGAGTGTCTTTGAACGCACCACAGTGATAACCCTCTGTTTGATGCAGACGTTCGTGAACGACCTGAGGATCCCTGACCAGACCTACATCACCCTCAAGCTGACCGACATCATCCGCTTCGGATACGATATCCTTCTGTGTGTGTGTGTGTGTGTGTGTGTGTGTGTGTGTGTGTGTGTGTGTGTGTGTGTGTGTGTGTGTGTGTGTGTGTGTGTGTGTGTGTGTGTGTGTGTGTGTGTGTGTGTGTGTGTGTGTGTGTGTGTGTGTGTGTGTGTGTGTGTGTGTGTGTGTGTGTGTGTGTGTGTGTGTGTGTGTTACTGTCTGATGACGTGTGTGTTTCTTAACGTCCTCCTCACATTCTCACGTCTACGTTCTGGAGAAAAATCAACACAAAGTCCCAGAGGAGGCGCTGAAGGTCTGTGTGTGTGTGTGTGTGTGTGTGTGTGTGTGTGTGTGTGTGTGTGTGTGTGTGTGTGTGTGTGTGTGTGTGTGTGTGTGTGTGTGTGTGTGTGTGTGTGTGTGTGTGTGTGTGTGTGTGTGTGTGTGTGTTGTGTGTGTATGTGTGTGTGTGTGTGTGTGGTGTGTGTGTGTGTGTGTGTGTGTGTGTGTGTGTGTGTGTGTGTGTGTGTGTGTGTGTGTGTGTGTGTGTGTGTGTGTGTGTGTGTGTGTGTGTGTGTGTGTGTGTGTGATGTTTACCTGGTGTGTGTTGTTTCAGCATGAGAAGTACAGCAGTCAGCTGCAGATCAGCCTGAAGAGTTCAGAGAAGAAGAAGCTGGAGCTGGAGGACCGAGCGGGGGCCGAGAAAACACAGAGTACAAAGAGTACACAAGGTACTGCGAGTAATACTGCAAACACAGAGTACAAAGAGTACACAAGGTACTGCGAGTAATACTGCAAACACAGAGTACAAAGAGTACACAAGGTACTGCGAGTAATACTGCAAACACAGAGTACAAAGAGTACACAAGGTACTGCGAGTAATACCACATTTGTAATATTTGTAAATATAATTTATAATAAACTAAGAAAAGTGTGTGTGTGTGTGTGTGTGTGTGTGTGTGTGTGTGTGTGTGTGTGTGTGTGTGTGTGTGTGTGTGTGTGTGTGTGTGTGTGTGTGTGTGTGTGTGTGTGTGTGTGTGTGTGTGTGTGTGTGTGTGTGTGTGTGTGTGTGTGTGTGTGTGTGTGTGTGTGTGTGTGTGTCACAGAGGCCCCTGGGAGCCGGCCCACGCCCCTGTACGGGCAGCCCTCCTGGTGGGGGGAGGAGGACTTTGGGGGTTCAGGGCAGAGCAGGGATGGACCTCCTGCAGGTGAGACAGCACCACACCCTCCATAGCTTACAGTATATATACATAGTACTATATGTGATATAATATATACATAGTACTATATGTGATATCATATATACATAGTACTATATGTGATATCATATATACATAGTACTATATGTGATATAATATATACATAGTACTATATGTGATATCATATATACATAGTACTATATGTGATATCATATATACATAGTACTATATGTGATATCATATATACATAGTACTATATGTGATATCATATATACATAGTACTATATGTGATATCATATATACATAGTACTATATGTGATATCATATATACATAGTACTATATGTGATATAATATATACATAGTACTATATGTGATATCATATATACATAGTACTATATGTGATATCATATATACATAGTACTATATGTGATATCATATATACATAGTACTATATGTGATATCATATATACATAGTACTATATGTGATATCATATATACATAGTACTATATGTGATATCATAATGTATAAATAATGTCTGTTTATTGTCTTTACGGCACCTGTGATTAAAGTCCTTGTCTCCTCAGAGCTGCAGAGGGGCGCCTCATCTGGGGACCTGGACCACCGGCCCCCCCTCCCTGCTTACCTTCGGGATCCGAGTTACTTCGAGACCCCCACCAAAGACCCCCCGGGGGCGGAGCTTCAGGAGATCCCCACCAAGGACACGGACACGCCCACCAGCACTCCCCCCGTGGTTCAGAGCCACGCCTCCTTCACCATCGAGTTCGACTCGCCCGGCACCATGAAGATCAAAGACCACATCACCAAGTTCTCCACCCGCCACCGCAAGCCGCAGGCCCCGCCCCCAGCCACACTCACAGACGTGATGTCATCAGAGAGCAAGGTCGCTGATTGGCTGGTGCACAGTGACGTAAGCTTGATGAGAAGACGGCCCACCTGTGAGGACGTGTACAGCACCAAGAGCGACCTGGCCGTCAACACCAAGACCCTCAGAGGTTCCACATCATTGTTATTATAATGAGACGAGACTTTATTGATCCCAATGTGGGGAGGGTCTGCGTTGAAATACAAATGTACAGAAACAAAATAGAAAGCAGGATATTATATATACATTCATTATTATAATTATAATGATCTTATTATTCCACTCATGTTATTGTGTCTGTTTGTGTCTTGTTGCCAGGACACCATCACGAGGACGGGACCCAGAGTGACTCTGAGGACCCCGGGCTGGAAGAGAGGCGGAGTCAGTCCCACCACTCCGTCCAATCAGAGCAGACGCCCCCCCAGGCCCCCCAGCCCCCGCAGTCTGACCCCCCCACCCCGGTGGCCCCCGAGCGGCCCCTCTCCCAGAGTCCTCCTCGCTCCCCCCCTGCAGAAACACCCAAACAGCCCCCCCCCGAGCACGTCCCCCAGCAGGCGCCCCCCGAACACGCCCCCCAGCAGGCGCCCCCCGAGCACGCCCCCCAGCAGGCGCCCCCCGAGCACGCCCCCCAGCAGGCCTTCATCATCGAGTTCTTCGACGACAACCCTCGTAAGAAGCGCTCTCAGTCCTTCACGCACAGCCCGGCGCCCGAGAGCTGCGGAGCCCTGAAGAACAAGCTGGAGCGCCGGAGAGGAGAGAGGCCGGCGTCCGTCCACATCCCCCCCACCCAGCAGGTGGTCTCCCTGAAGGGTCCCCCCCTCCAGCAGGGGGTCCCCCTGAAGGGCCCCGCCCCCCAGCAGGTGGTCCTCCTGAAGGGCCCCGGCGCCCCCCAGAGGTCCAGCTCTCTGAAGAGGGAGAAGACAGAGGGTGAGCCCCCGCCCCCCCGCCCCTCCTCGGGTCCGAGGCCCTTCGGCAGCGTGGGGAAAAAGTCCAAACTCACACAGGAGTTCACCGCAGAGTTCCTGAAGGACGCCCCCCCGACCAGAGACCAGCTGTCCCCCCCCCCCGATGTCCGCCCCCCCCGGTGATGGTGACGCTTCCTCACCCGGGAATCCCCTCCCCCCAAGACCCAGCCCCCCCTTCCTCCCCCCCCCCAACCCCCCTCCCCCCCACAGCCTCCATTAAGGTGCCCAGCCCCCCCCTCTGGGCCCCCCATCCTGCCCCTGGGCGTCCGGGCAGGAGACCCCAAAGCCTCTCAGAGGATGATGAGGAGTGAGGAAGACGACAGCCTGAGCGACGCCGGGACCTACACCATCGAGACGGAGTCGCAGGACCGGGAGGTGGAGGATGCGCGGAACATGATCGACCAGGTGAACCTCCCGGAGAGCCGCTAGCCCGCTAGCCCGTTAGCTCGTTAGCCAGTTAGCTCATTAGCCAGTTAGCTCGTTAGCCAATTAGCTCGAAACGGCTGCTCACTCATTTGTTGCCAGAAGTATAATAACCCAGTTTTTATATATTATCTCAGGCTCATCATGCATTGTAAGTTCAATTCATTTTAGACAGCGTTCTGGTTCCGAAACTGAACGAGATGGAGGGGAGGGGGGGGGGGGCATCAGAGGTGCTGAGAAGTACAACTGTTTCCTCGGGAGCTGCTGAGATACACAATGTGTTTGAAATCTCCTGCATGATTCCTCCTGTCCTTATTGGTCCTCCTTGTTGCCCCCCCCCCCCCCCCCCTGCATGCCCTGTGCTCTGCAGGTGTTTGGTGTCCTGGACTCTCCAGAGTACAGTGGTGTGAACGCAGGAGTGTATAAACCACCTGTAATAAATGATGGCAAGGATGATAGCGATGGTAGCACTGTGGACCCGTTGCATGGCTTTATCCCAGCTGCTATCAGCGGCCCCCCAACAGGCCCCCCCATGCAGGTAAAACCCACTGAATCAGAACCTGGGACAAACACCTGAAGCAGGTTCTGGTCCCGGTGCATGCAGACTGACGTCGCTTATCCCTCAGTTTCTCCTCTCACACATTGAGGCCGAGTGTCCACACAGTGTTCCTGAGCTAGTGGGAGGAACCAACCGAGTGTCCACACAGTGTTCCTGAGCTAGCAGGAGGAACCAACCGAGTGTCCACACAGTGTTCCTGAGCTAGTGGGAGGAACCAACCGAGTGTCCACACAGTGTTCCTGAGCTAGCAGGAGGAACCAACCGAGTGTTCACACAGTGTTCCTGAGCTAGCAGGAGGAACCAACCGAGTGGAGAAGAAGCTTGTTTGGTTTTTAAACAGTGCAGTCGGTGAACGGTGATGTGCAGCGAGGTGATCACGGAGCTTCGCTGCACATCACCTCTCTTCCCCCACGGCCACACACTGAACATACTGACCACTCCACTCCTAATAGTCATGTAAGTGGTTTGATGGAATGAAAATGATCGTAGTGCTTCCTCTGAGAAAGTAAACTCCACCAACAGCTGGACCTGTCCTGTCTGTCTGCTTCTAGTGTTCCTGTTAGTCTTTACTTCCTGTCTGTCTGCTTCTAGTGTTCCTGATAGTGTTTACTTCCTGTCTGTCTGCTTCTAGTGTTCCTGATAGTGTTTACTTCCTGTCTGTCTGCTTCTAGTGTTCCTGATAGTGTTTACTTCCTGTCTGTCTGCTTCTAGTGTTCCTGATAGTGTTTACTTCCTGTCTGTCTGCTTCTAGTGTTCCTGATAGTGTTTACTTCCTGTCTGTCTGCTTCTAGTGTTCTTGTTAGTCTTTACTTCCTGTCTGTCTGCTTCTAGTGTTCCTGTTAGTCTTTACTTCCTTTGTTGATTTCTCTGACGTCCAGCGTGTTTAGCAGCATTGTGTTTAGCAGCATTGTGTTATCGCGTCTAAACCACCTCTGAAAAGCCGTGTAATAAGAGATGATGATCTGCTCAGAGGACGCTGTATGGACACTCGCCCTCTCTCTGTGAAGTGTGACCTGTGGTCCCACCTGACCTTGTTCTTGTAATGCCGATCTTTGTGTGGTTCTGTGGTCTAGGTTCCCCCTGCTCCTGCAGCCGGTCTGGAAGGACCCAAATGGGTTTCCCGTTGGGCGAGCCTGGCCGATAGCCATGCTGAACCCGGTTCCACGCCACCTCAAGGCGATTGTTTGGAAGGTCAGTGTCCTCCATCAGAACGTGTTCGGTGTAGATCTGAGAGCTGAGCATCAGATCTGAGTCACAGTTTAGACGCTGCTTGAAGTGTTCCTGGCATGCCGCTCTGGCAGTGGTACTCTACAGTAGAAGTATATACCGTGCGGCCCCCACCCCTGACCTTATTTCATTTAGTAATAGTTATTTAAAAAATAATATTTGTTCCTAAAGGGCAGATGGTGGCAGGTGATCGGAAGGTGTTCTACTCTGTAAAGCTGCGTTCACACAGGAAGCAAGGCTTAACATCGCCTTACCTGCAGGGCTTATCTCCATGTAGATACCAACAACAACAACATTAACAACAACAAATGTAGCTTAGGTGAACGCACCCTAACTACCGGGGGCTCATTTCATTCCCTGATGATGAGAACACTCAACCTGAAGAGCACAATACTGGCTCCTGTGAGGATCAGATGATGGAAGGACTTTGAAGCATCCTCAGGCAGCCCCCTGTATGTGTTCACTTACAGAGAAGCCTCGCTGCTCATGTGTAGCAGGGCCCCACTTCCCAAGTTGATTTATTTAATGAATACATGAAACTCTTTATGCCAGGTCATGTGTGGTTTGTGGTTAGGTGACGTTTGGCGGTTGCCTCTTTTTTAAATCGCAGGCTTGAAATAAAACATTGTCTCATTGGCCCTGAGACATGTGACCAACTAAGATAACACAATTTGTTTTTGTAGATCTGCGCATCATGAGCCGGTCTACAGGACCTCACAGCTACGATAACTCTGAGTCGGAGTCCAGCCACAGCTCCAGGACCCGAAGGCTGCTGCCCCAGGTTCCACCAGAAAAATTAGAAAGTGTTCCTCCGAGTATCCTGATCCGCCATGAATCATACCAAGGTCAGGAACCCCTGGACAAGAACTTGGGTCCTTCCCGCCCACAGCACTCCACCCAGCGCCTGGCGGTTCAGGATGATGTGGATCCTGACAGCCTGAGTGATGCCAGCCGCTCAGATGACTGGCCTGTTCTGGAGGACACCAAGAAGAATCAGACCAGGATGGGAACTTTGTCTCCAGCCGGTCCTCCTACAACCAAATCCACCTCCTTCTACATCGGTTCTGGAGACAGCCCAGGCAAACCGGACCAGGCCCGATGCTCGGTAAAGCCCCCCCCCTACCACCGTCCTGATCCGACACCTGAGTGGACACGAACCCCGGAGGACGGGTGTCAAACCCAACAGCTCTGCTCCAAACCTCCAAATGCAGGACTCGGTCCCCACCAGAGACAGCGGCATGTCCTCCATAGTCCGGCAGGAGAGCTTCACCAAAGAGCAGCCCGGCGACACCGTTCAGACCAAGAGGCTTCCCCACATCTCCAGCCAGCCCTCCATCAGGGACATGGAGCAGCGGAGGGACAACATCCAGGACCCCCAGTCCTTCCTGCAGGAGGCCGAGGGAACTCTGTCCCCTCTGGATTCAAAGTTCCCCTCGTCCGGCTCGGCTCGCAGCTCCAAGAAAGGAGGCTCGTCCACCCACATGGACGACTCCCTGTCCGGGGAGTCGGACGTGGACACAGCGAGCACCGTGAGCCAAGTGAGCAGCAAAAACGCTCCGGTTCGCTCCGCCTCCAAAAAGCGTCCCACCCTCAGCAGCGTCCAGAAGGACAGGTCCAGCTCCAGCCAGTCCGTCCAACACAAGGCACGGCAACTCTCTGCCCGCGAACGGCTTTCTGAGAAACGCCGGAGCCAGACGACCTCGGAACCATCGAGCAAGGCAGAGGCGGCAAAGAGGTTCCAGATGCGCCGCAGCGCGGGAAACCGCGGCTCTCTGGATCTGTCCGAGAGCCAGCAGGGGCCACCCTGGACCGAAACCACCTCGTCTGACCATGAAGTCTCCCGCCCGTCCAGCCGCAGCAAGAAACTCCTCGGCCCTCCTCAGAAAGAAGACAGCGTAAAGACGTCCAAGGCAGCAACGCAGCAGGTTCTGATGCGGTCCAACAGCCTGTCAGCGCCGCGGCCGACCCGAGCCTCCATGCTGCGCCGGGCACGCCTGGGCGAGGCCTCGGACAACGAAGGTACAGAGACCGACCGGGCCGAGACCGACCGGGCCTCCCAGAACTCTGACATCACGGCACCGTCCAGAACAACCGCCGAAGCCAAGAAGCTGTCCAGGTCTGTTCATCAGAACATGGACTCACTTTAACTCTGTCCTCTGTCCTCTAACAGACTGTCCTCTGTCCTCTGTCCTCTGTCCTCTGTCCTCTGTCCTCTGTCTTCTGTCTTCTGTCCTCTGTCCTCTAACAGACTGTCCTCTGTCCTCTGTCTTCTGTCCTCTGTCCTCTAACAGACTGTCCTCTGTCCTCTGTCTTCTAACAGACTGTCCTCTGTCCTCTGTCCTCTGTCCTCTAACAGACTGTCCTCTGTCCTCTGTCCTCTGTCCTCTGTCCTCTAACAGACTGTCCTCTGTCCTCTGTCTTCTAACAGACTGTCCTCTGTCCTCTGTCCTCTAACAGACTGTCCTCTGTCCTCTAACAGACTGTCCTCTGTCCTCCAACAGACTGTCCTCTAACACAGTGGTTCTCAACTGGTGGGTCGCCACCCAAAAGTGGGTTGCGGACCCGTTTCGAGTTGTTCGCAGATGTGTGAGTGAAGAAAAAATAAATAGATTTTTTTTATTTGAAAAAAGTCCAACTTTTATTTTGAAGGCCCGATTTTCTAACGCTGTGCATGAGGTAGGCGTTGGACTGGAAGTAACGGAGACCATAAACAGGCTGGAAAACTTCTGTCACGTAGTGATCATCTTCTCAATAAAACATCTTTGCTGATGTTTTTTCGAGTCTTAATTAATAATATGTTATGTCATTGTTTGTTTTTCACTTTGTTCTGACAGCTTGCTGCTCCTCACAGAGAGAAGAGCAAAGAGGAGAGAGTCTGTGTGCATTACTTTGTGGGTAAGGGTAGATAGCCCCCATTGTTCTGTGACCTGTCAATCATCAAACCGGGGGTCATATTTCATTATGTGTTCATTTCTATCTGGAGTTGTACCCATGGGTGTATAAAGAATAGTTCTACCGCAAAGTTATTCTCCGTGGGGACTTCCGGCAACAATCTGGATTCTGATTGGCCAGAAGACTCGAAAAACCTCAGCAAAGATGTTTCATTGAGAAGATGATCACTACGTGACAGAAGTTTTCCAAACCGTTTATGGTCTCCGGTACTTCCAGTCCAACGGCTACTGCATGCACAGCGTTAGAAAATCGGGCCTTCAAAATAAAAGTTTGACTTATTTTAAAGACACTTTTTTTTTTCTTTTTCTCACACGTCTGCGACCCACTCCAAACGGGTCCACGACCAACTTTTGAGTCGCGACCCACCAGTTGAGAACCACTGCTCTAACAGACTGTCCTCTAACAGACTGTCTTCTGTCCTCTAGGCTGGACATCTTAGCGATGCCGAGAAAGAGGACCGGTTCCTTCACAACTCCCAGCGACACCGAGACGTCCTCCACGGGCCGGGCCGGGTTTTCTACCCGTAACTCCGAGTCGGCCGTCAGCACCAGGAAGACGTCTGTGGGCGAGGCAGTGAGCAGGGGGGGCGGAGCTAAACAGACGCTGACCCGGACCCGGTCCAGCGGAGCCAAGTACCCCGGAGCCAGTGAGTCCGGGACAGTTTTTAATATGCAGTGACATGCTTAATCCTCCTGTCCTTCCTCCTACCTCTCATCATCACCTACTGTTTCTTTGTGATTCAAAATGGTCCTGCTAAGAATCCTTAAGCGTCTCTGACCCTCGAGATGGGTGTATGGGGAAAAGCTTCCTCAGTAAATGAACCTAAATGAAATGTGTCCAGGTTCCCGTCGCAGACAGAAGGGCTCGGACTTCTCCTCGTCCTCGGAGGAGGAAGAATATGTGACTAGTGCCATGAATCAGTCCAAACGCCCCCCCCTCTTCCTCCCAGACGCCACGCCAGCGGACCGCCGCCACGAGATCCAAGTCTGTGTCCGTGGAGACGGAGGAGGACGAGAGCGAGGTGGACCCCTACCAGAACTGGTCCACGCACAGCGCCGAGATCGCCAAGTAAGATAACATTACATCACATTTTAGAACAGGCTTTTATCTAAAGAAACAATCCATAGAGATTCAAACTGCAGCAAGAGTCCTGCAGACAGCAGCTAGAAAGCTGCTGTCTGCAGAGTCCTGCAGACAGCAGCTTTCTATCCAGAGCTGCTGAGTCCTGCAGACAGCAGCTTTCTATATAGAGCTGCTGAGTCCTGCAGACAGCAGCTTTCTATCCAGAGCTGCTGAGTCCTGCAGACAGCAGCTTTCTATCCAGAGCTGCTGAGTCCTGCAGACAGCAGCTTTCTATCCAGAGCTGCAGAGTCCTGCAGACAGCAGCTTTCTATCCAGAGCTGCAGAGCCCTGCAGACAGCAGCTTTCTATCCAGAGCTGCAGAGTCCTGCAGACAGCAGCTTTCTATCCAGGGCTGCAGAGCCCTGCAGACAGCAGCTTTCTATCCAGAGCTGCAGAGCCCTGCAGACAGCAGCTTTCTATCCAGAGCTGCAGAGTCCTGCAGACAGCAGCTTTCTATCCAGAGCTGCTGAGTCCTGCAGACAGCAGCTTTCTATCCAGAGCTGCAGAGCCCTGCAGACAGCAGCTTTCTATCCAGAGCTGCAGAGTCCTGCAGACAGCAGCTTTCTATCCAGAGCTGCAGAGTCCTGCAGACAGCAGCTTTCTATCCAGAGCTGCTGAGTCCTGCAGACAGCAGCTTTCTATCCAGAGCTGCTGAGTCCTGGGTTCTGTGTCACATGCCTGTTCTTTGACCTGCTATGCCCCGCTGTGGGACTAATAAAGGATTTCTGATTCTGATATTCAAATGTTGGACCCTGAAGGCAGCATCTCCCTGGTTCAATGGGGGTTCGGTCCGCCTCTGGTAACCTCTGATAGCCCCTCTCCGATATGTTTTGCTTCCTGCAGACTCAGTCAGGATTTGGCCAAAGACCTGGCCATCCTGGCGAAGGAAATCCACGACGTGGCGGGGGACGGAGACTCGCCGAGCTCCGGCATCGGGGTGGCCACCTCCCCGAGCTCGCTGCCCAACACCCCGGCTTCCCCCATCTCTGCGAGGGAAGAGGTGGGCAAACCCCCCCATCCCCCCTCCACCTCCACAGCTTCTTACACTGGGAACACACAAGATGTATAACCTTAGATATAAAAATATATATGTCATAACACTTAGTTATTATGATTTAGTTATTGCGAGAGCTTATGATTTGAAGACCTTTTCCTCGTAGACTTCTCTACAATCTGAGGTAATACAGAGAGAGAGAAGTAGGAACATTTCCTCATAGACTTCTCTACAATCTGAGGTAACAAAGAGAGAGAGAAGTAGGAACATTTCCTCATAGACTTCTCTACAATCTGAGGTAATAGAGAGAGAAGTAGGAACATTTCCTCATAGACTTCTCTACAATCTGAGGTAATAAAGAGAGAGAGAAGTAGGAACATTTCCTCATAGACTTCTCTACAATCTGAGGTAATAGAGAGAGAAGTAGGAACATTTCCTCATAGACTTCTCTACAATCTGAGGTAATAAAGAGAGAGAGAAGTAGGAACATTTCCTCATAGACTTCTATACAATCTGAGGTAATAGAGAGAGAAGTAGGAACATTTCCTCATAGACTTCTCTACAATCTGAGGTAATAAAGAGAGAGAGAAGTAGGAACATTTCCTCATAGACTTCTATACAATCTGAGGTAACAAAGAGACAGAGAAGTAGGAACATTTCCTCATAGACTTCTCTACAATCTGAGGTAATAGAGAGAGAGAGAAGTAGGAACATTTCCTCATAGACTTCTCTACAATCTGAGGTAATAAAGAGAGAAGTAGGAACATTTCCTCATAGACTTCTCTACAATCTGAGGTAATACAGAGAGAGAGAAGTAGGAACATTTCCTCATAGACTTCTCTACAATCTGAGGTAATAAAGAGAGAGAGAGAAGTAGGAACATTTCCTCATAGACTTCTCTACAATCTGAGGTAACATAGAGAGAGAGAAGTAGGAACATTTCCTCATAGACTTCTCTACAATCTGAGGTAACATAGAGAGAGAGAAGTAGGAACATTTCCTCATAGACTTCTCTACAATCTGAGGTAACAAAGAGAGAGAGAAGTAGGAACATTTCCTCATAGACTTCTCTACAATCTGAGGTAATAGAGAGAGAGAAGTAGGAACATTTCCTCATAGACTTCTATATAATCTGAGGTAATAAAGAGAGAGAAGTAGGAACATTTCCTCATAGACTTCTCTACAATCTGAGGTAACAAAGAGAGAGAGAGAAGTAGGAACATTTCCTCATAGACTTCTCTACAATCTGAGGTAATACAGAGAGAGAGAAGTAGGAACATTTCCTCATAGACTTCTCTACAATCTGAGGTAACAAAGAGACAGAGAAGTAGGAACATTTCCTCATAGACTTCTCTACAATCTGAGGTAATAGAGAGAGAGAGAAGTAGGAACATTTCCTCATAGACTTCTCTACAATCTGAGGTAATAGAGAGAGAAGTAGGAACATTTCCTCATAGACTTCTCTACAATCTGAGGTAATACAGAGAGAGAGAAGTAGGAACATTTCCTCATAGACTTCTCTACAATCTGAGGTAATACAGAGAGAGAGAGAAGTAGGAACATTTCCTCATAGACTTCTCTACAATCTGAGGTAATACAGAGAGAGAGAGAAGTAGGAACATTTCCTCATAGACTTCTCTACAATCTGAGGTAATAAAGAGAGAGAGAAGTAGGAACATTTCCTCATAGACTTCTATACAATCTGAGGTAACAAAGAGACAGAGAAGTAGGAACATTTCCTCATAGACTTCTCTACAATCTGAGGTAATAGAGAGAGAGAGAAGTAGGAACATTTCCTCATAGACTTCTCTACAATCTGAGGTAATAGAGAGAGAGAGAAGTGGGAACATTTCCTCATAGACTTCTCTACAATCTGAGGTAATAGAGAGAGAGAGAAGTAGGAACATTTCCTCATAGACTTCTCTACAATCTGAGGTAACATAGAGAGAGAGAGAAGTAGGAACATTTCCTCATAGACTTCTCTACAATCTGAGGTAACATAGAGAGAGAGAAGTAGGAACATTTCCTCATAGACTTCTCTACAATCTGAGGTAACAAAGAGAGAGAGAAGTAGGAACATTTCCTCATAGACTTCTCTACAATCTGAGGTAATAGAGAGAGAGAAGTAGGAACATTTCCTCATAGACTTCTCTACAATCTGAGGTAATAAAGAGAGAGAAGTAGGAACATTTCCTCATAGACTTCTCTACAATCTGAGGTAACAAAGAGAGAGAGAAGTAGGAACATTTCCTCATAGACTTCTCTACAATCTGAGGTAATAGAGAGAGAGAAGTAGGAACATTTCCTCATAGACTTCTCTACAATCTGAGGTAATAGAGAGAGAGAGAAGTAGGAACATTTCCTCATAGACTTCTCTACAATCTGAGGTAACAAAGAGAGAGAGAGAAGTAGGAACATTTCCTCATAGACTTCTCTACAATCTGAGGTAACAAAGAGAGAGAGAGAGAAGTAGGAACATTTCCTCATAGACTTCTATACAATCTGAGGTAACAAAGAGAGAGAGAGAAGTAGGAACATTTCCTCATAGACTTCTCTACAATCTGAGGTAATACAGAGAGAGAGAAGTAGGAACATTTCCTCATAGACTTCTCTACAATCTGAGGTAATAAAGAGAGAGAGAAGTAGGAACATTTCCTCATAGACTTCTATACAATCTGAGGTAACAAAGAGACAGAGAAGTAGGAACATTTCCTCATAGACTTCTCTACAATCTGAGGTAACAAAGAGAGAGAGAAGTAGGAACATTTCCTCATAGACTTCTCTACAATCTGAGGTAATAGAGAGAGAGAGAAGTAGGAACATTTCCTCATAGACTTCTCTACAATCTGAGGTAATACAGAGAGAGAGAAGTAGGAACATTTCCTCATAGACTTCTCTACAATCTGAGGTAATAGAGAGAGAGAGAAGTAGGAACATTTCCTCATAGACTTCTCTACAATCTGAGGTAATAGAGAGAGAGAGAAGTAGGAACATTTCCTCATAGACTTCTCTACAATCTGAGGTAATAGAGAGAGAGAAGTAGGAACATTTCCTCATAGACTTCTCTACAATCTGAGGTAATAGAGAGAGAGAAGTAGGAACATTTCCTCATAGACTTCTATACAATCTGAGGTAATAAAGAGAGAGAGAAGTAGGAACATTTCCTCATAGACTTCTCTACAATCTGAGGTAATACAGAGAGAGAGAAGTAGGAACATTTCCTCATAGACTTCTCTACAATCTGAGGTAATAGAGAGAGAGAAGTAGGAACATTTCCTCATAGACTTCTATACAATCTGAGGTAACAAAGAGAGAGACAGAGAAGTAGGAACATTTCCTCATAGACTTCTCTACAATCTGAGGTAACACAGAGAGAGAGAAGTAGGAACATTTCCTCATAGACTTCTCTACAATCTGAGGTAATAGAGAGAGAAGTAGGAACATTTCCTCATAGACTTCTCTACAATCTGAGGTAACAAAGAGAGAAGTAGGAACATTTCCTCATAGACTTCTCTACAATCTGAGGTAATACAGAGACAGAGAAGTAGGAACATTTCCTCATAGACTTCTCTACAATCTGAGGTAACACAGAGAGAGAGAAGTAGGAACATTTCCTCATAGACTTCTCTACAATCTGAGGTAATAGAGAGAGAGAGAAGTAGGAACATTTCCTCATGTTCCCAGTTTTCTTTGAGTATCTAAAAACTACTTGTTCATGCGCTGCTCAATTTTCATCCATAACATGTCATCTTTTCTGATTAGTGGAAAGAAAGCTCAACATTTCAAATGCAGGAGATTATTTTACTAGCTTTGTCTGTTTCTCATGAACTCACCATAAGTTATCCTCGTTAGCAAAATGAACCGTAACGGGTCAGAAAGCTTGTAATGTAAAGACTTCATGCTGATCTCTGTTAGTTAGGAAGTGAGGATGCTTCATGCTGATCTCTGTCAGTTAGGAAGTGAGGATGCTTCATGCTGATCTCTGTCAGTTAGGAAGTGAGGATGCTTCATGCTGATCTCTGTCAGTTAGGAAGTGAGGATGCTTCATGCTGATTTCTGTCAGTTAGGAAGTGAGGATGCTTCATGCTGATCTCTGTCAGTTAGGAAGTGAGGATGCTTCATGCTGATCTCTGTCAGTTAGGAAGTGAGGATGCTTCATGCTGATCTCTGTCAGTTAGGAAGTGAGGATGCTTCATGCTGATCTCTGTCAGTTAGGAAGTGAGGATGCTTCATGCTGATCTCTGTTAGTTAGGAAGTGAGGATGCTTCATGCTGATCTCTGTTAGTTAGGAAGTGAGGATGCTTCATGCTGATCTCTGTTAGTTAGGAAGTGAGGATGCTTCATGCTGATCTCTGTCAGTTAGGAAGTGAGGATGCTTCATGCTGATCTCTGTTAGTTAAGAAGTGAGGATGCTTCATGCTGATCTCTGTCAGTTAGGAAGTGAGGATGCTTCATGCTGATCTCTGTTAGTTAGGAAGTGAGGATGGTTCATGCTGATCTCTGTCAGTTAGGAAGTGAGGATGCTTCATGCTGATCTCTGTCAGTTAGGAAGTGAGGATGCTTCATGCTGATCTCTGTCAGTTAGGAAGTGAGGATGCTTCATGCTGATCTCTGTCAGTTAGGAAGTGAGGATGCTTCATGCTGATCTCTGTTAGTTAGGAAGTGAGGATGCTTCATGCTGATCTCTGTTAGTTAGGAAGTGAGGATGCTTCATGCTGATCTGAAGAGGTGGTTTGATGAGCTTCATCATGCTTTGGATTCTCATGAGTCATTTCTCTGTCGTGCTGCAGAGGTCAGAGGTCATCTTATCCATACGGAGGTGGGGTTCCACCCTCTCAGGTGTTTGCTCCTCCCCCTCTCAGGTGTTTGCTCCTCCCCCTCTCACCTGTGGACGAGTGTTCTGGAGCACTTTTGATTTGTATTATTTAGAGATTTGTCTGAGTGAGCGGTGTCAAACATTACTAAGGACAAACCACTGAGTTAGCACAACACAGATACCAGCTTTAAGGAGCTCCAGCTGTGCCTGACTAACATCTAAAGTGACAGAAACAGCTATGGAACCCACCCTAAGGAGACCCTCCTGCCTGCCAGCCTGGCACTGGGGGGGGGGGGGGGACATGTTTGATTTTGTCACATTTGCGTTCTGCTGTTTGTTTTGTGCTTCCTCAGTCGTTTGGCCATTAACACCTGCTGTGCACCATGACTGAAGTGAACTGGGGCATGTAGCTGCACCTCTGCCCCCCCGTTAACACGCTGTATCTCAGCAGACAATAACCCACTGCCTCCAACCCCCCCCCCCCCACCACCACCCCCTCCCCCACCACCATCGCAGCTGCATGTTGACTTGGTGCATGCGTTCACAGAGCTGCTCGCTGACACATTCAGACGCTGGATCAGACTTCCTGTCCTCTTCTTTCCAGCTGGTCCAACATATCCCCGAGGCCAGTTTAAACTACCAGAAGGTTCCTCCAGGTTCTGCTGACGGCCCGGACCTGGACGCTAACATGAATGAGCCTGAGCCCGGTTCTAAGCAGCGCCGTCCGTGGCACCGCGAAGAGGTCACTGAGGCTCCGTTCATTTCTATCTGACTCGAGAGGCTCTCAGTCTGGAAGAGTTCTTACTCATTACTGTGGCAACTGATCAATGTGTTGGTTATTTCCCCCCCGGTTAACTTCCTGTTACCGGTTAACTTCCTGGTACCCGGTTAACTTCCTGTTACCGGTTAACTTCCTGTTACCGGTTAACTTCCTGGTACCCGGTTAACTTCCTGTTACCGGTTAACTTCCTGTTACCGGTTAACTTCCTGGTACCCGGTTAACTTCCTGGTACCCGGTTAACTTCCTGTTACCGGTTAACTTCCTGTTACCGGTTAACTTCCTGTTACCGGTTAACTTCCTGTTACCGGTTAACTTCCTGGTACCCGGTTAACTTCCTGGTACCCGGTTAACTTCCTGTTACCGGTTAACTTCCTGGTACCCGGTTAACTTCCTGTTACCGGTTAACTTCCTGTTACCGGTTAACTTCCTGTTACCGGTTAACTTCCTGGTACCCGGTTAACTTCCTGTTACCCGGTTAACTTCCTGTTACCGGTTAACTTCCTGTTACCGGTTAACTTCCTGGTACCCGGTTAACTTCCTGGTACCCGGTTAACTTCCTGTTACCGGTTAACTTCCTGTTACCCGGTTAAATTCCTGTTACCCGGTTAACTTCCTGTTACCGGTTAACTTCCTGTTACCCGGTTAACTTCCTGTTACCGGTTAACTTCCTGTTACCGGTTAACTTCCTGTTACCGGTTAACTTCCTGTTACCGGTTAACTTCCTGTTACCCGGTTAACTTCCTGTTACCGGTTAAATTCCTGTTACCGGTTAACTTCCTGTTACCGGTTAACTTCCTGTTACCCGGTTAACTTCCTGTTACCGGTTAACTTCCTGTTACCCGGTTAACTTCCTGTTACCGGTTAACTGGCACACTTTGAGGTTTTGAAAAAGCCTGTTAACTCCTCAAAATGCAAGATTCTGCCAACGATCTTTCAGACTAGCATTAGCATTAGCATTAGCGTGGTTTAGAGATGCTTTCTAATAAGCTCCACATTTCAACATTGTGTGTTCAAAATACCACAAAACAGCTCTGAAGATTTCACTTCCCCAGAGTGGTCCAGTCCACCAGCTGACATGCTGAGACCCCAACGTGTTCTGATAGAAGTGTAGAGGAGGGTCTGCAGCTCATAGAGACTGCTGGATGCTTACCTGCAGATGTTGGACATTTATACAGTTAGCATCAGTTGAGCTACTTAGCATTATAGACAATAGTTATAAAATGTCAGATTAGGACAGTTGTGGGGGTTATTGACGATGCTGAGTCCATTTCTGAGTTTTAACCGTGTGTGGTTATATTTGTCACTGTGGGCTGTGTGTGTGTGGCTGTGTGTGTGTGTGTGTGTGTGTGTGTGTGTGTGTGTGTGTGTGTGTGTGTGTGTGTGTGTGTGTGTGTGTGTGTGTGTGTGTGTGTGTGTGTGTGTGTGTGTGTGTGTGTGTGTGTGTGTGTGTGTGTGTGTGTGTGTGTGTGTGTGTGTGTGTGTGTGTAAACAGTGTGTGTGTGTGTGTGTGTGTGTGTAAACAGTGTGTGTGTGTGTGTAAACAGTGTGTGTGTGTGTTTTAACAGTGTGTGTGTGTGTGTGTAAACAGTGTGTGTGTGTGTTTTAACAGTGTGTGTGTGCGTCTCAGGTGCTGCTGGATAACCTGATGCTGAACCCGGTCTCCCAGCTGTCCCTCGCCATCCGGGAAAACACAGAGCAGCTGGCAGAGAAGATGAAGTGAGAAGAATATATGTTTTAATAAATATATGTTTTAATAAATATATGTTTTAATAAATATATGTTTTAATAAATATATATATTAACCCCAGAAGATAAATATGTTCATGGGACATGTGTTGTTACCTTCAGTCGAAACACTTTTATTGTGAAAGGGCTCCTGGAGGTTTTCAGGTGTTGACTTCCTGTCCGCAGGGTTCTGTTCCAGAACAAGGCGGAGGTCTGGGAGGAGATCGAGGCCAAGATCAACGCTGAGAACGAAGTCCCCATCCTGAAGACCTCCAACAAGGTCTGTCTCTGTCTCTGTCTGAACCTGGTCTGTCTCTGTCTCTGAACCTGGTCTGTCTCTGAACCTGATCTGTCTCTGAACCTGATCTGTCTCTGAACCTGGTCTGTCTCTGTCTCTGAACCTGGTCTGTCTCTGAACCTGATCTGTCTCTGAACCTGGTCTGTCTCTGAACCTGGTCTGTCTCTGAACCTGGTCTGTCTCTGTCTGAACCGGGTCTGTCTCTGTCTGAACCTGGTCTGTCTCTGAACCTGGTCTGTCTCTGTCTGAACCTGGTCTGTCTCTGAACCTGGTCTGTCTCTGAACCTGATCTGTCTCTGAACCTGATCTGTCTCTGAACCTGGTCTGTCTCTGAACCGGGTCTGTCTCTGTCTGAAACGGGTTTGTCTCTGTCTGAACCTGGTCTGTCTCTGAACCTGGTCTGTCTCTGTCTGAACCTGGTCTGTCTCTGTCTCCTCACAGGAAATCACCTCCATCCTCCGAGAGCTGCGCCGAGTCCAGAGGCAGCTCCAAGGTACTGTTGACCAGAACCTCTGTAGACCTGAACCTCTGTAGACCTGAACCTCTGTAGACCTGAATCTCTGTAGACCTGAACCTCTGTAGACCTGAACCTCTGTAGACCTGAATCTCTGTAGACCTGAATCTCTGTAGACCTGAACCTCTGTAGACCAGAACCTCTGTAGACCTGAACCTCTGTAGACCTGGACCTCTGTAGACCTGAACCTCTGTAGACCTGAACCTCTGTAGACCAGAACCTCTGTAGACCTGAACCTCTGTAGACCTGGACCTCTGTAGACCTGAACCTCTGTAGACCTGAACCTCTGTAGACCAGAACCTCTGTAGACCAGAACCTCTGTAGACCTGAACCTCTGTAGACCTGAACCTCTGTAGACCTGAACCTCTGTAGACCTGAACCTCTGTAGACGGCCACCAGGTGGCGCCATGTGACTCTGGCTCAGTGATAATCTCTCAGACATATCAAAGGCATCGACTGAATGTCCTGTTTGTGTTTCCGTAGTGATCAACACCATCGTGGAGCCGGGGGGGGGTCTCCAGGCGGGGGGGGGTCTCCAGGCGGGTGGGGGTTTCCAGGCTCAGACCCGCCCCTCCTCCAGGGAGAAGAAACCCGCCTCCAAACCCCGCGCCGCCCCCGCTAACGCTAATGCTAGCAGGAGGACTGCCCACATGTAGCCCCCCCGCCCACATGTAGCCCCCCCCCCCACATGTAGCCCCCCCGTGACTCATATCGAAGCCTTCTGACCGGTCCAGGACAGATGTACATCACATTTTATTTCATGAATGTTCCTTTGCTGTGATCGTAGCTGAATGTCTGTTGGGTACTTGAACGCACCTCTTCCCTGGACACAAAGAAGAGACGTCCTCTTCCCTGGACACAAAGAAGAGACGTCCTCTTCCCTGGACACAAAGAAGAGACGTCCTCTTCCCCTGGACACAAAGAAGAGACGTCCTCTTCCCTGGACACAAAGAAGAGACGTCCTCTTCCCCTGGACACAAAGAAGAGACGTCCTCTTCCCCTGGACACAAAGAAGAGACGTCCTCTTCCCCTGGACACAAAGAAGAGACGTCCTCTTCCCCTGGACACAAAGAAGAGACGTCCTCTTCCCTGGACACAAAGAAGAGACGTCCTCTTCCCCTGGACACAAAGAAGAGATGTCCTCTTCCCTGGACACAAAGAAGAGACGTCCTCTTCCCCTGGACACAAAGAAGAGACGTCTTGTTCCCCTGGACACAAAGAAGAGACGTCTTGTTCCCCTGGACACAAAGAAGAGACGTCTTGTTCCCCTGGACACAAAGAAGAGACGTCCTCTTCCCTGGACACAAAGAAGAGACGTCCTCTTCCCTGGACACAAAGAAGAGACGTCCTCTTCCCTGGACACAAAGAAGAGACGTCCTCTTCCCCTGGACACAAAGAAGAGACGTCCTCTTCCCCTGGACACAAAGAAGAGACGTCCTCTTCCCCTGGACACAAAGAAGAGACGTCCTCTTCCCCTGGACACAAAGAAGAGACGTCCTCTTCCCCGCGCTGCTCGATGCCACAACATAGAAAACAGAGTCAGTCAGAGAGCTCGCGGTGCGTTCAGGTGCTCCTGTGATACCCTTCTGACTGCGGTGCGTTCAGGTGCTCCTGTGATACGCTTCTGACTGCGGTGTGTTCAGGTGCTCCTTTGCTTCTGACTGCGGTGCGTTCAGGTGCTCCTGTGCTTCTAACTGCGGTGCGTTCAGGTGCCCCTGTGCTGGTGCCCCTGTGCTTCTGACTGCGGTGCGTTCAGGTGCCCCTGTGCTTCTGACTGCGGTGCGTTCAGGTGCCCCTGTGCTTCTGACTGCGGTGCGTTCAGGTGCCCCTGTGCTTCTGACTGCGGTGCGTTCAGGTGCCCCTGTGCTTCTGACTGCGGTGCGTTCAGGTGCCCCTGTGCTTCTGACTGCGGTGCGTTCAGGTGCCCCTGTGCTTCTGACTGCGGTGCGTTCAGGTGCCCCTGTGCTTCTGACTGCGGTGCATTCAGGTGCCCCTGGGCTGGTGCCCCTGTGCTTCTGACTGCGGTGCGTTCAGGTGCCCCTGTGCTTCTGACTGTGGTGCATTCAGGTGCTCCTGTGCTTCTGACTGTGATGTGTTCATGAGCTTTAAGTTTTAATGTGGAAACATGAACGCTGAGAAGGCGACACGTGATTGGTTATTACATTTCACTAGATTACATTTGAACACATCATCATAATGTTAAAGGATGTATTTGTTTTTGCTAAATAGAGCTTGAATGCATCATAATGTAACTGAATGCAACCTCCGTTAACGTAAGCCGTTAGCGCCGTGAACGTTAGCTGTTAGCTCTGTCATTAGGCAATACAAACCTGAATGCTAACAGAGAACGGCTAACAGCTAACGGCTAATGCTAACTAGCTCTGCTCCTGTCCATTGCAACACACATCTGTTGTTCACAGAGTAGCATCACCAGGACTTATGCAGTGTGTGTGTGTGTGTGTGTGTGTGTGTGTGTGTGTGTGTGTGTGTGTGTGTGTGTGTGTGTGTGTGTGTGTGTGTGTGTGTGTGTGTGTGTGTGTGTGTGTGTGTGTGTGTGTGTGTGTGTGTGTGTGTGTGTGTGTGTGTGTGTGTGTGTGTGCGCTGTACAGCTGTAAGTATGAAATATTTAGATCAGTCCTCCTGTTCTTCTTCTTCTTCTTCTTCTTCACATGTTTCAGGGATCAGTGTCATCACGGTTAGCCTAGCTTAGCACAAAGACTGGGAGTGGAGGGAAACTGCTAGCCTAGCGTTCCTGATGTGTGAAGCAGGAAGATGGACGATGGGAGGATTCCTCTATAGACTTTTATTTTGTAAGGTGCATGTTTCCTGTATAGCTTGGGGCTAGTTCACCAAATGTGCACTTTTTTTATTTGACAAACACCTCAGCTGAGATTATTGGGCTTTTATTTTGGCAGTGTTCGTGCTCTGCAGCCAATGAGAATGTATGGCCCGGTCACCTGACAGGTGATTGGTCCCTGAGTTTCAGTGCATGTGATCCTGTATTTATTCATGTGTTCATCGTCAGCAGCGTTTCTTTGTGTCATTTGTAATAAACTGGTTTCATGCTGATGTTTGACGACGCTTCAATGGTGTGGTGTTGCAGTGCATCATGGGAGTTCTCCTCTGAAATAATGATAAATATGAATACATTCATAAATGCATTAAAATAAATAAAGTTCCAGATTGGAGGTCAGATGACATGGAAGTGTTAAATCTTTAGAAAAAACATTCTCAAAGAATTTGTAAAACACACAAATGGAAAAGTGAACATAGACATTTCACTGGCTCCTCCCACCTGATGGGGCTGGGGATCAGGGGCTTATCATTATACAAACATATTAACACAGTGAGAGCAGGGTTATAACTTCAATCTGTTTATTGTTGACATTAGTCTCTCATTCTTGTGTAATGTAAAATAAAGTAATAAATACACAGTTAATGGTTGATAACTTTTATTAAAGCAGTTATAAAGAACATCTTCAGTTGTATAAGTATGTAGTATAATTTATGATATTATATAATATGATGACAGTGTAATGCGTTGACCCCACTCTCATCTGTGATTGGCTCAGTCAGTCCTGGCCCCACCTCCTTGGTATGAGGGGGAAGGGACGTGTGAGTTTGGCCCTCCTTCATCCTTCACACTGATTGGCTGAAGAGACACGTTGGTCAGAGGATTAGACTCCGCCCATCACCTGCTCCTCCGGCACCGCCTCCTCCACAGGTACACCTGAGGGGGGGGGGGGGGGGGGGGGGGGGGGGGGGGGGGGGGGGGGGGGGGGAACAGACTAATACTATGAGACCTGTACTTTAACCTCAGATATACTACATATCAGATATACTCTTCAGATTGTAGAGAAGTCTATGAGAAAGTGTTCCTACTTCTCTCTCTCTTTGTTACCTCAGATTGTAGAGAAGTCTATGAGGAAATGTTCCTACTTCTCTCTCTATTACCTCAGATTGTAGAGAAGTCTATGAGGAAATGTTCCTACTTCTCTGTCTCTTTGTTACCTCAGATTGTAGAGAAGTCTATGAGAAAGTGTTCCTACTTCTCTCTCTCTGTATTACCTCAGATTGTAGAGAAGTCTATGAGGAAATGTTCCTACTTCTCTGTCTCTTTGTTACCTCAGATTGTAGAGAAGTCTATGAGGAAATGTTCCTACTTCTCTCTCTATTACCTCAGATTGTAGAGAAGTCTATGAGGAAATGTTCCTACTTCTCTGTCTCTTTGTTACCTCAGATTGTAGAGAAGTCTATGAGGAAATGTTCCTACTTCTCTCTCTCTTTGTTACCTCAGATTGTAGAGAAGTCTATGAGGAAATGTTCCTACTTCTCTGTCTCTTTGTTACCTCAGATTGTAGAGAAGTATATGAGGAAAATGTTCCCTACTCTCTCTCTCTCTCTTTGTTACCTCAGATTGTAGAGAGGTCTATGAGGAAATGTTCCTACTTCTCTCTCTCTTTGTTACCTCAGATTGTATAGAAGTCTATGAGGAAATGTTCCTACTTCTCTCTCTCTCTCTTTGTTACCTCAGATTGTAGAGAAGTTCTATGAGGAAAATGTTCCCTACTTCTCTCTCTCCTCTTTGTTACCTCAGATTGTAGAGAAGTCTATGAGGAAATGTTCCTACTTCTCTCTCTCTTTGTTACCTCAGATTGTATAGAAGTCTATGAGGAAATGTTCCTACTTCTCTCTCTCTCTCTTTGTTACCTCAGATTGTAGAGAAGTCTATGAGGAAATGTTCCTACTTCTCTGTCTCTCTGTTACCTCAGATTGTATAGAAGTCTATGAGGAAATGTTCCTACTACTCTCTCTCTTTAACAACTCAGATTGAGAGAAGTAGATGAGGAAATG